AATGACCTTGTTCGTAAAATTTGATGTCAAATATCTATATACGATGACCCCACATCAAGGTGCTCTAGTGGCATTATTCGAATTTTTAGAACGAAATTTAATTGAGAAAAAAATTAGTCATTGACCATGGATGATATCATGAGCATGGCTTTTTTCGTATTGGATTCGGATATCTTCGCCTATGAAAATAAATATTATCGACAAATTCGTGGTGGTGCGATGGGTTCGACCTCTACACAAACATTAGCGAATATTTGCATGTTAAAATGAGAACAAAAATTAATAAAAGACTAAGAATCAGACGAAGAAATCTATCGATGATGAGTAAGCATCTTAGAAACAGCAAAAAGAAATCACTTTATTTGACATATTTCTAGTGACTCTTATTCATCTAGATATATTGCTCATGTATTTATGACAACCAAATTATCATACAATCAAATTAAATTAAGATTGGACGAGGCGACGAACCAAGATAGGTGTGGATTTAGATCGGTGACGGTGTGGGGTGTTGATATAATGATAAGACCCACGCTTCGAAATATCTTATATATCGTTAAATAGGATTATTATGTACGTAGTTCTCATTTCTATAACACAACTTTCATTATAACAAATATGTAAGTGAAGAAAAAAATTTATTCTAAAAACTATTTTCAGTGATATGTCTCAATCAGTGTAATTTCTTTTAATAATATCATCTTTCATCGTGTGTGTATTTTTGAATCTAATAGGAAAATCTATATTATATCCTTTGGTTCTCTTAGAATCATGGTCATACCAGACTTGTTGTGAGCTAATAGAAGATAAATACGTAAAGTTAATAGATTCTGCTGCTTTTTTTACACTCAATAAAAGTTAAAAATTAATGATTAAGAAAATACTAGACAATTATTTCTATTGATTAGCTAATTCCAGCGAGTGATTAAGAGTTAATCATACGTCAATTTCGAGTAATAAAAGAAAAAAGAACAATTAACTATGAAAATACTAATAGAAGACTTTATAGAGAATATTTCAAAATGACAACAAAATCATTAATCTATATAATACATCGTCAACTACATATAAAATCATATATTTTTAATTGAAAAAGAGAATAATTCAAGTTTCTAAATTATAAACAACAACGAATGTTTAATATATATGTTAAATTACAGAAAATAAAATATAGAACTAAAGCCATATACTTATACAATTGTTTATGTCACATGAGTAAGTAAAGTTATGTAGTCGTGTATTTTGCTCGAGCCATTCTCGTGTGATGAATTTATCATAAGTAATAGGTGCTACATTCATAGGATGTTGTAACACTACATTTGATACTGTCATTGGCAAATTATTTAGAAAATCAGAGAGATTAGATATATTATCATTGATAAAATGAAGTTGTTTTACATGACTGAATGAGCGAAAAAGTGCATCAATTTCGTTTAATGTTAAGTCGTATTTTATAATAATTCTATTTTCAAATTGATCTAAAATTCTTAGAATGCTAATATTTGACCAATGGTAAATAGATATTAACTTAAGAAGAGTGATAGAAGCACCAAGAACACATAAATGAGACATATAACGAATAAACTGAGTAAACATGTCGATATTGATTTCCGTATAATAGTTATTTATGATAAATGTGGTAATTTTTGACATATCAACATATGGACTAATATCATCAATCATCATGCGATAACTCTTTTCAGAATCATTCACAGACAGCTGTTGAAGGTGTGTAAATCGACGTATAATTTCATTATTTACAGGCGACGTCCAACGAATATTCAGATATTTAATGTTCGAGAATGACAAATCTTGCGGTCCAGTTGCTTCTACTATGAGATTACCTTTAATATTAGAATATGGATATGCATTCATAAAATAAGGAACCGAATAAAGCAATGAAAATCCACTAACACTACATCGATTATACATAACATACCATTGCTTCTTCTCAAGCCAGAATGGTGTACGAAATGAGTCGAGTTTAATTGGCTGTTCAGACCAAATACTATTGTCAAATATAAATA